CCTCTGTGCCAAATATAATGATTACATATTAATCCATTTCAACCGATCAGCTAACACATAGAAATGCTTAAGCTAATCACGTCTTTATACGCCAAAGAGTAATATTTGATATGTTAAGACGAGAATAGTGGCATAAAGGTCTTCTTGCTTGACCTTAGTGTTTTATTATAACTTGTTTGACACTTTGAAACTTTTAGAGTAAAATTCGGGTAGAATTTTTTAATATCTATTGTTAGTAGTTGGGTGGAGGAAAGAGGCGCGAGCGCATTCAATAAATTATAATAATTGTATAATATGTATGTATTTATACAGTAGAGTAAAAAAAGGCCATGCATATGCCAACAGATAAGTAATTATACAAAATAACAACAAAAGCTTCACATATATCCAGTTTCCGTCCAATTTGGGTTGACGCACTTAACCGGATCGAAACTGTGAGGAAATATTTGAATTTAAATTTTATTTTTCCATGTAAAAAGCTTTCTAAGATTTAAAAATATTCCACACAAATCTCTAATAAACTATTTATATATGTATGTAAAAAAAGAAAAGCAAATCAGATCATTTTACAAAATAAAAATCGAATGCATCTTACGATGATAACTAAACGCAGCACGAGAGTATAAACGTATATATATATATACGTTATATACGTATACGTATATATATATATATATATATATATATATATATGCATATACATATAGACAGCATATTGGCTTTGTGCGGTCAGTTGGTTCATGTAAATAGATAGATTGTTATTATTTTTTGTTTTTCTTTTATGTCTTAGGCATGTTTTTCTTACCCATAAACTATTTTTAACTAATTCCGAATGCGGTTTTTCTAAAAATATCACTCACTATAACTACAGACACTACCAGCCAACCAACTCGTTTGGAATGATTTTAAGTTGAGTATGTCTACAATTCCAATAGCCATTAACTAACTCCTATATATATATATATATATACATAACTCCTATATATATATATACATATATATATACATATGAAGAAATGAATATACATATATAGTGTAGAGCAAAACGAAACTAGTCAGGCAATAGTGTCCGTCCAGTTGTTCAAATGCGCATGGCTTTCAGGTTAGTCGGATGGTTGTGTTTTGTGTTGCGCATTGTTTCGATTGCCTTGCTTCAGCAACAAGTTGAAATGTGGTTACTACCTGCAAAGAGTATGAAATATGAAAAAGACATGGCGTGTTATGGTTAGAAAATACAATATATATGCATGTATGTATTTATTTATGTATGTATTTATGTATGTATGTATATATATATATATGTACGTTTACATCTATACATATATTACATGGATACGAACAAGTGAATATACGTGCGTCTAAAATTAGATTAATGCCACTTGATCTTGTTGCCGGACGTTGTCAAATTCCTTTTGGAATCATATCTGCAGCATACTTCTTCGCAACGAATCCTTGAAATCAAAGAAAAACAATTTTTTTTTTTTTTTTTTTTTGTTATTATTAACCATAAGGAAAATAAATTTTTATGCATAATAATCGTAAAACATAGAAGAAGAAAAAGAAGAGGGCGAAGGCGAAGACTAAGACGAAGAAGAAGAAGAAAATATCATCTTGTTTTGCTGTTCTGCTATATATTTGACACATCCGCTCTCAGTAACACAAAATGCATTACCTTTGTTCGTTTCGTACGCCACGCTACAATTTTTGTAAATACGTCGTAAAGCAATTCTGGGAAGTAAATTTTGAGATGAAAAAGAAACCACATAAAGTAAATGTAGTCATGACTCTAAAACAATATTTATTTTAATTTAATTTCGTTATTGCCATTGTTGGTCTTAGCAACATAACCAAGCAGTATGTACAGAGAAAGCTTTCAATTAAATTTCCGACCTTCGTAGTAACAACACCGAACAACATCGAAGAGCGTGTTATTGTTCAGTTTCTGTCTGTCCGAAACAAAACAGTTTTTATAAGTTTTCAAAAAGAAGTCGCTCCTGGTTTCTCTAGTTTGCATGGACATCGTATTCATTCATTTGCATAATAAATGTACATTTTTTTCGTGAGATGTCTTTCCTTATCACGAAATATTATATACGCACGAAATATTATATGTGCTCTGATAGAGCAATAAAAGCTAAAAAGGGAAACGGAAATGCCTTTAACAGTGGTATTAAGAAGAGTTTTCTCATAACTCCTCTGATGCTCTGGACAATCTATTTGTTACAGAGACACCATCATTGCACAAATAAGGCAGATTGAAGCAAACCACTTTACAAATTGATCTTTCTACACTAGTGCTATTCTTTGAAAGCAAAATCATTATAAAAATGGCGAAGAGACGCAAACAAGAAGTAAGATGACGTTGCGGCACATCGGTTTAGTGGCGGCTTTTCGGCACACAGCGAACATGCTTCCACGATCGGATTTCAAAAGCTTAGGCGTCAGCCGAGTTACTAGATCCAATGGCTGGAAGTCGGACTTGCCGCATTGGCGCTTTGTTTCTTTGATGATATTTAACAGAAGCTATTCAACCTCCAGGGTCTTCTTCATAGTTGTCGCTTTTAGTGAATCTTCTTTGCTCTCTTAAATAATCATAAGAAAGAATTGCTTCGCCGGATTTAATCATTGTTTTCGCCCATCTTTAGATAAAAGAACGCACCTAAGACATGATTCTGATTTGACAGAGAATCTACTCTCCGACAGCAATCTATTGAAAGAGTAACTCTGAAGCTGATGGATACGAAAAAGAAATGAAGGAATTTGCGGGAAGCCAAGGACGTGTAAGAGGTCGCTAAATTAAAGACATTTTTCTACCTGTGTAAATGCAGGCATTATATTAAACCTTAGCACATTTTTTTTTTTTTTTTTATATATATAACCAATCACACCACCATATTATTCCCAGTCACTTATGAAAATTTGGACAATAGCTAAAATGTGATTGGTTTTGTTTATAATTTCAATGAATTCATCTAACGTATCCAAACAAGCGAAAATCCCACATTTGACGATTTCAGATTGTCGTGAAAGCCACTCGATCTTCTAAAAATCGAATTCTAAGAAAAGATTAGACCATTCATGACGACTTATATTCCCACGTAGCTGGAGAGTGCTGAAAAGGTTAACAGCAAAAAAGTGATTAACATAAAAATGTCGCAAAAAAGCTTATAAAAGGGCAGAAAACAGAATATTTGCGGAAGTCAAAGTGAGTCGTGTCAAGAGAGACAGACACGACATTCACAAAAGTAACTCATAGACACCGTCTAGTAAGATTACTGTTAAGGAAGAAACACTTTTTGCATCTTTCCCTATCAAGAGCTGAGAGCACAGTGGAAGATAACAAAAACACATTCATCATCTCGTCGCATGCTTAATGAAAACGTTAATGTTTTTATTAACATTTAACATTAAGTTAGATGAGCGACCGCCTCCCAGTAGCACTGGCGTCATGTTTTTATTAGCACTTAAAACGAAATTAAGCGGAATTTTAGTGTTACATCAAATTCTTTGTAGTATTTGCCTGGAAATTAGAAAACAGCTTGCAGCTACCTAAAGCTCATCTCTGGTTAAGGATTTAACAGAAAATCGAGATTTCTGTTGAAACTTCATATTATCAAAGACTTTGTTTGGATGTCGGCATAGGACAACAGTTCTTGCTCCCTGCCTTCAATAGACCTTTTATTGTTAGTAAAATAAATTAAAGACAAAACATTGATTCTAATAAGGTTCCTAATACGAAAGCAAGTGAACAAATGAGAACGAGAATGAATGTATGTAATGCACGTACAAGAAATATTGTCTTGGCTTTACAAAAAATCTCGTCAAATATTTATTCAAGAATTCCTCTACGGAATATATTCAACAATATTCTGAATATAGGGTTAGACTATAATTTAAGAAAAGAAAAAGAGAAGACAAAACACAATAAAAATAAAAACTTTATGAGAATTAAATTCAAATAAAAATTAAAATTAATTAATGAAAAATAATAATTACTAATAACAATGAAAAACACTATAGTGAGCCACAGACCACGGTTAAATGCATATCCTACATCACCTCATTCTTATTTCTATAGTGATCTTTCAAAATAAGTCGTTATATGGAAAGTAGTCGCAGAAATAATCCAAACCAATTTATTTTCAATAGCGTCCGTCCTTCGGCCAAAACACGGCAGTGTACCAACTTTCATCAAATTATCTCAAAAATTACCGCGTCTAGGTTAAAAACAACACAGATAGACGGAGAGACAAGCTTAGAAAACGACACTGAATCGGTCAGTATAATAAAAGGTGAGACTATCTCAAGACGCTCTGGGTATTGTATTTAAGTGTACGGTGTTGAAAACAACACAGACGGACGGACAGACAAACTTAGAAAACGGTATAACAAAAGGTGAGACCATCTCAACTCTCTCTAGGTGCACTGTGTTGAAAACAACACAGACGGATGGACAGACAAACTTAGAAAACGATACTGAATCGGTCGGTATAATAAAAGTTAAGACTATCTCAACTCGCTCTCGGCATTGTATCTAAGTGTACGGTGTTGAAAACAACACAGACGGACGGACAGACAAACTTAGAAAACGACACTGAGTCGATCGGTATAACAAAAGGTGAGACTATCCCAGGTGGCTCTGGGTGTTGAATCTATGCGTATTAACTTGATATACCCTTATATTGGAAGTGGTGTAGGGTGTAAAAATTAACACTAAATATAAGTAAAGTTAAATTTGCAAAATCTATAGCAACTATATATATATATATATATATATGTGCATATTACAAAAGTCGTGAATTCATTTTATTAATTCTCGATAAATCTGATATACCCACAATAAAAGCTGACGGCGACTACTGGTGCCTATCTCAAGAGAATCGCTTCAAGGCAATGTGCGTTGTTTTCTTGTTCATTGCTTGTTTTGTTTATTTATTCTGTGTTTTTTAAGTGAAAATTTTAAAAGTTTTAAAACTTGTAATTTAATGATATTTGTATAGCGATTCGCGATTGACGCCTACAAGCCTGCAAGCGAGCAGTTAATAGCATTAATACGAATGCCGTTGACATTATCTATGAGTAATGAAACTGTGCTTGAACGAACGGTGTTAATAATGATGATAACGATGTAAAAACATTGTTGCAAGACAACCAAAGAATTCAACGTCATCCTAGGGCGTGCATTTTCGTTACCTATGAAGTTAAGAAATTGTGTCATTAACTGCAAAAAATAAATTTGTAAACAACAAAACTGTTATTTGGCCGTTAAAGAGAACACACATATGTTGGACATTAACCTAACTATAATATACTATCATGTCGGTATGTTCATTTACTTATTTTTTTTTTTATGCGTGCTTGAAACTTTTAGATTAAACTATGTATGAAATGTAATGTAAAAAAGTACGTAAATAAGAAACCAGTATACATACGAACGCTTGTCTGGGATATGCACTGTGGCTCCAGTTTTTGATTGTGCTCTTTTTAAGTAGGGGACTAGGGCTCTGCTCTGCCTCTATTAAGTATAAAATGGCCAAGATTATTGTTATTATTACGCGTGATCAACAGAAGAGATTCATTGTACTCGCCCAGGTCCCTCGACTTCCAGTTTCAGGATTCTTCTGAACCCCGCCAACTTACCTGCTTCGGGGTATCGTACTATTACTCATATGTGTTATGATAAAACACTTGACATTTGATTCTTTAGGTTGGCTCGGCTTCACGTAAGATGTAATGCGACGTTTCGCTTATCACTTGACAGGTATAATTTATTTCATCATCTCATTGAAGCATTTCGGTATGTTCAAGTGACGTAGCTATGATTGATGTATGAACTTATCACAGCCCAACGGAATTACGAAAAAATCGAATTTGCAATTGAGACAAGACGGGAAAGATTGCAGTCAATATTTGTTAATGTTGTTCACTACTTTGAAAGGGGTAGAAAAATAAAAAGTACACTTATTTAGCGTTACTTGGATCAGTTGAGTACCAATATCAAAAAAAAAAAAACCTAAAGGAGTTGCATTCAGCTATGACTGGATCATTTTCATTACCAATCTTTACATTAAAAAATTCATTGCTGCGGATAGTAAGTAAAATAGTCACTTTTTTGCAGAGGTGTTCGTTATGCTGCAGGCGTCTTTCTCGACCGATTAGACCCATTGTCAATATAAACATACTGCCGCATAGACGAGCCGACAGGTGTCGAAGCTACCAATTAGTTGTTCACGGCTTCGAGTCTCAGTTCAGTAGACAATGCTTTGCCCTAGTTATGGTGTCTGTTCAGCCGGTGAAGGCATCACGCTTAGCACCCATTAGGGTACGGCGATCTCCATCTCCATTCCCCTCGCATCCTCATCTACTTCTTTTTTCTCATCTCTTTCTGATGATCACTGTACGCCCTGATTGATGGATCATATTAAAAAAAAAAAAAAAACCAAATGCGTGCACGAACTTCCCATGATTTTGGCGATTTTAATGGCGATATCTTTGCCTTCGCAACCAGCACAATGCTTATCGTAAAACGGGAAGGCTGGCGGAAGGACGGACGGACAATCTGACCTAGATAAATACAGAATCTGATAATGATTCAGGTTGTCTCTGAAGTCCCCTTTTGCACGTTGCAAACGTTTTGACAAAGTAAATACGCTGCCGTTCTTAGACGGCACACGTATAGAAGGACCACATTTGAAGCAGAGAATCTTTTTCCAGCCCCAGATTACGCATGAGTAGTCGAGTAGGTAAGAATCGCGGTAAAGTTCCCTTCGGCCGTAACGTTAATGAGTGCTCAGCCGGTAAAGGCAAAACACTTACCGATTGATGTTACGCCCACTAGGCTGCGGTCAACATTTTTTCCATCTCTTTCTCCTTCTTCACTTCTTCCTGTTCGTCACCATATTACACGTATAGCGAATGTCCCCTAAGTGATTGGTCAAGTTAAAAGAAACGAAAAAGAAAGATAACGCACTAACATGTTAACCAAATATCGCACATTGTTATCTAATTGGAAAATTTTGAACGATAGCGCTGCTAGATGAACGTTTCACATCGCATGAAGAACTCGAATTTGGAGCGGACAGTTATTGCTTGATAAATCGTAGCATTTGAAGGATATTAAAAATTAGAAAATCATTGGGTCCCTAATATTGAGTCTACGTTGAATAATAAAATTAGATTTTCTGAAAATCGTTGCGTTCCATTTATTATGTGCTTCACTTATTCATCTCACTATCAGTTTTTCAGTTTTTCTTAGTAGTTTTTTTTTTGTTTTCCTTTGCAACCGGATGTTCGAATCTAAAATAAATTTAAAGCTTTATAAGCGCAGTTTCACCTTTGCTGTGATATTTTTAAGACGGTGGCAGTTTCGCCAACAAACGATTAAAATTGTCTTACAAGCGTTCGCAAACACATGGGTTACTAATGTAGCAAATGACTAAATTTGGTTTGCGATAAAATTTTACTGACGTCTTTAGAAATCACATACAATCAATCATATGATACAAATTGGTACACTTTCCTCAAGGCGTCCATCATTTTACGTGTATGACACACTTTCTCATTCTGTCTAATAAGATAGATATATATTCACATAACAAATAAAAAAAAAAAAAAAAAAAAAAAAGAGTCGGCCTTATTTTAACGAAATTCTTTTGTTAACGTTAGTGTTAGGAAACAAGAAGATAAAGATGAAAATCTATTGTTAATAAATAACATTCACACATCCAAACTAATTGCAATAACAACAACTGGTCGCTTATCACATCAGCAAATATGCTGCTAAATGAAATGAAAACGCGACTGTTTTAACTATAGACGGAAAGAGCTTTAGAATGTTTCGCAAAAGACGAAGAACAAAAAAAATTTATATTTATAGAGAGTCCACGTCAAATATCCTACACCAGCCTTATTAAAATAAAGGGTTATGTGATAAGTGATACGATCCGAAACATTTTCACCCGAGTTCGTCCTTGAGCCAAAACACGACAGTGTACCAAATTTCATCAAAATATCCCAGAAATTGCAACCTATAGTTTAAATAAGAGAAAACTAGACGTACATATGGACAGACAAAGTTAAATCGATTCAGAAATTAACTTTGAATCGATCAATCTACCCAAAGTTCTTCCGTGTGTTGTATACATCCGTAGAAATTTAATGAACCCTTGTACCACAAACGGTGTTCGGTATAAAGATATATTAAAATTTTCTGGATTCTAAGCAAGATTTTAACGGTTATTTACAGACGTGGAGCGATAGAAAAGTAGCGATAGTAGTAGTAGTGAGTAATACATTTTTTTTGATTTTCGTGATCTTGCTACAAAATAAGAAGAAATACGGTCTAAGTACCATGTTAGGCTCTTTTATGCGTGCAACCATAATTATGGGTAGACGAGTCACAGCTCTTGCGTCCCGATTGCGCATCTTCTGACACTTTATCGGAACTTTCCCCGGTCATCACCACCAACTCAATTCACCTAACTTGTCAAAGGTTCTGCTTAGCTGATTTAGTTCCGTCTGCGACCTCCCCGAATCGATTTGCACATGCCTTTTATTGAGTTAAGTTCTCTTTCTTTTTACAGCATGGACCACTGTCAACATGTAGATCGCAATTTTTGAGATATTTTGATAAAATTTGGTATACAGACCAGGGGAAAAAGAAACGCGGGAGATCGAGCTAGATCGCGATCGAAAGGCGATCGCTTGATTGTTCGTACTGATGAAACAAATGTCAAATTTTACTTATGATATCGAGCAAAGTTCATACGCTGCCAAGTACCGCCAGCTCACTGCTCATCGAAAGTTTCTCAAGAAGGAAAATCATCAGCACAAAATTGAAAACTACGATTAAGAGACCTCGATAACGGGAACCGTAAACCGAGTCCTGGGTTAACATTAAAACTCAAAAAACCTCTTCAGGGACATTATTTGAAATAAAGCCGCACCGTAGGAGCTTTTAAACTCCATTCGGCAAATTGATTTTAATAATTGATCGGCCATAAATGTATGCTATGGACTAAATTTGGAATAATAGTTACATCTAAACAAACTTGCTCTCTTTTGATCACAATAAATCCCTATACCTGTCTTTTAGGTAATTCGCAGAGCTTTATTGGATAGTGTGGAAACCATAAGCTTCACTTGACTCTTTCCTTGATAGTTTCCGACTATGATCCTAAATGGTTTGTTAAGCGGAATCAAGCTTTTCTGATATGATCAAGAAATCATTTTGATCTACCAAGACTCTGACAGTATTTCCCTCGATCGAAGATGGTCGCATAGAGCGTGACTTGCCATATAGATCGAAATTATCTATTTGAAATTTTTTGAACCATCTTCTGCATGTTCTGTCCGAAGGCGCATCTTCAGCAAACGCAAGCAATGTCTTTCTAAACACTTCTGTGGCATTGCTTCATTGTTTGAAGTCATCCAGAATCCAGTGGCCTAAATCGACTTTATCCGTAGCAAGAGATCGCGTTTCATGTTCGCTTTACTTCATTTGCTCGGTCAGCGTGTGTATACTGTGTTCAGTGATAAAAAAAAAAAAAGTTCCCAGTACGCGTCAAACGAATAAGCGCATATTTGTTGAAACTTGTTGTAACTGAAATGGGCACAACTTTCCCGTAGACCTAATATATAAATTTTCCTCATTTTTTTGAAAAAAAAAAATACTTTCTTTAAACTCGCTCCTTGAGTTCTTCGCCACGCATACAATTATTAAATGCCTTTTTTTTTTTTTGTTTTTCTTGTACACTTTCAGTTGGTACTTCCGTAAAATTAAACGTATTGAGGCTGAAAAGAAATTATTACTGCCCGAAAATGAGCATGGAGCTTTTTTAATCCGAGACTCGGAGAGTCGTCATAATGATTATTCACTATCAGGTAAGTTTCAGTTTTTCTGTATATTTTTATTTTATTTTTTTTTTTGTTGCAGAAAATATTCTCAATTTCAGTTTAATAAAAATAACAAGAAGATAAAAAAAAAATATATCAACGCACAGATATGCAACACACATATATATGTATTGACAATATACCAATGAATTTTTTTCTCGTTTGTTTTTTTTTTTTTCTTTTACCTTTCATTTGGGTGCAGTTCGTGATGGTGACACAGTGAAACACTATCGTATAAGACAATTAGACGAAGGTGGATTTTTTATAGCCAGACGCACAACTTCAGGCAAGTTAAAAAATATTAAAAAAAAAATAAAAATTAAAGGAAAAAATATTATGAAATATGAAATGCCTAGCCCATGGCGGAGCCAAAGTATTACAGCAACATTTTCAAACCATAATTCCAAAGAAACGAAACAGAAGGTACTGACTGCCCTGAGGAGTACCTATACTGTAAGGAGATTGTTCATTTTTAAGCGAAATTTCTTATGACGTATTTATGGCAATAGGATACCAATCCGCTTATGACGATTAATTCTGTGCTATATCGAAACATTTTTATTTAAACCAAAATGTCGCATAGTAAACATACATAACTTAAGCTCGGATTTAATATAAATCAAAAGAACGTACACCGTGTTGTATCGAAACCGTGCTTTACAAGCATCGCATTAAGCGGTATGACTCAAGGTTTACTTTCTCTTTATTGTACAATGTTTTACATGCGACAAATAACAAAACGATTTTTGCCATCATATACGTGGCATTATAAAATCAAGCGGTTAAGAAACGCGACTATAACGTTGGAAAATCATAGTTTACTTCTCATGGCGATAGATCGTCCTTGACTTACGTTTGATCTGTAACCGCAGCTATTAGTAAGTGGGTCAGTTGGTAAAGGCATACAATTTACCGATTGGATTACACACATCCTAGACTATATCCATCGCCTTTCCGCAATTTTCTGATCACCACTAGATATAGGAGAAGGCATTTTCTAAAAAAAGAAAAAAGTTCCTATAAAAACTCAGTTGAAAGATTACTTTGACATTTTTTAAAAGAGATCGAGACGTGCATCAAAAATCTCATTAAATTCCAAACCATAGCCCTCTGTTCCACTCATCTTTTTCTAACCTAGTAAATAGATGAATATAAAGTGCTAAAGATATGTAAATATTAGTTTTCATGTTCAAAACCTCAATGGCGGTAATTAACCAGCAAATAACTGAAATGTTTTCTGTTGCTTAAAATATTTTTCAATCAAGTTTAGTGAAATTATGAGAAACGATAACTCTAAGGTTCGCTTTTTATCCAATGTGCTGGGTGATAATACATTTCTTTACCTTTCGAATCGAAATGGTGATCGTTAGGTCAACTCAAATTGAACGCTTCGAATGCAAGCGATCTTTGAGAAAACAAGACGTATCGAACAATAGATATATTCCCATATCGGA